AGGCTGAGGTGTGATGGGGGTAGGGAAGCACACAAGACTCTGCAGAACCGGGTTCAGTTTTCTGCTCCCTTTGCCCTTGACGGTCCCGGATTCCTGAGGGGTGGAGGTGGAGTCATTAAAGAAGACCCCCCCTTTAATCGCAATTGAGCTAGAACAGTAGATCACAGGCACACACACACACACACCAACCACACACAAATCAAGCCTTCTGCCCTCATCCTTCCTTGAAATCCACCTACCACGAATGTATGAGGGGAGGGTCCAAGAGGGTTCGGGTCATCGCTATTCGTCAAGGTCTGAGGTTCTCAAAACCAAAGCCCTCCCGCCCCAGATCCTCGAGAGCCTTCCCCCCCACCCCATGCTAAAGTAAAACCAATTTACTGGCTCATTGGGCGGCAATGCTGGTGTGCGGATGCTGAGGAGCAGGGAGAGCGGCTGTTCTCCCCCTACACTCGGGGAGGCGACCCCCTCCCTAGCCTCGCTGAGCCGGCAGCTGTCCCTAATTAGAGCGGCGGTTTAATTGGATTTATCAGCAGTTAATAGGAAATTAAGCAAAGGGCCCGAGAGAAGGGGGGGCGGGAGGAACAGGGGAAACAGGCTGTGCTGAGCTCGAAGGAGGGATGCTGGGGTACCAGGGGTGGGAACAAGTGGTCCATGGTCACACCCTCCCCTCAGTGCTCACCATGACTGTTAAGCCTTGGCCCGCGGGCGGGAAAGCAGGTCCCCAGAAAGGGCGGTGGGAATGACAGTGACCCTGTGTGAGCTCCCAACACCCTCCATCCCCTTAAGCTGCGCCTGGGTGATGGATGATACTGCCGTACGCTGCAAAGGTCATAAGTCTGGGCCAAGGAGCAGACTGAATTGAAAATAGATCTGAAGAAGGCCAGTACTGGGGTGCGAGACACAACCCGCACCCCAACCTCCTTCACTGCCCACTCTACTCAAAACACACACACACACACACACACACAGCGCTCCTTGAAGTCGGAAGACTGGGGCAGCACGGGGTGGTGGGGTGGGGTGGGGGGAAGGCAGGATACAGAGTGACCCTCTCTATAACCCCCACCAGCAGACGTGTTGGGGATCCTAAGAATCTCCTGATGCAGCTCCAACGTTCCCTTTTTGCTCCCCCTTCCCCAAACTGCCCGATTGGGGTCATTGGGGTTCATCGGGTCTGCTGCTCAGGGGCGGCCCAACATCAGCACCACCCGCCCTAGGGGCCAGGCAAGGAAGCTTGCAGGCAGCTGGGCGCACGGGCTTCCTAGTCCACAGCCCCAGGCGCCTCCTGTCACCAAGACCTCATTATACTGCTAGGCTAACAAGGCCTGCTCCCGAGACCCTGAAGACCTCCCTGCCACATTCCACCCCGCAGGGCACAGATGGTAACTCTTGCATATGCTAAGGTGTGCCAGCCTCTGAGTGGGTGTGGGTGGTCTCTCCGTGCCGCTGGCAATTATGGGCATCTGTATCCCCAGCATGTGGTCTGTGTGTGTCTGCTTGTTCCTGGGTGTGTGTGGTGTGTCTACCTGAGCCCCAGGTGTGTCCAAATCTGTGCCGGGTGTGTGTCTGTTCCCCTGAGTGAGTCTGTGTCTATCGGGTTTGTCCACTTCCCGCTCCCCGGCTCCCATCTGGGTGATTTTGCCCGGTATGCCTCCTCGCGGGGACGTTTCCGTGCATCTCCGCCTACAGGTTTGTATGTGTGAAAATCAGGAAGAGCCAGCGGGGAGTGTGTGTTGCTCTCGCATCTCCACCTGCAGGTGTGTGTGTCTCGGTGACAGTGCGTGGGCGTGTGCCTGGGTGTGAGCCGCGCGGCGGCGTGTATCCGAATGACAGTGTGACGCACGTGTGCGCTCGCGTGTGTGCGCGCACGCCGGGATGAGTCTCCCGCCCCCCACTCCTTCCTTTCCCCATTCCTATTCCTCTTTCCTCTCCCGGTCGGCTCGGCTTCACCGGCCGCATCATCTCCATCCATTATTGAAGAAACAGCCGCGTCCGCTCCAATCACATCAACACCCCCGCCCCCTTCCCGTTCTGCTCGCCCCGCGGCCCCTCTGGGTGCTGAGGAGAGGGAAAGCCAAGACACGGTGGGGGCGCCGGGTGGGAATGGGCTTATGACCCCGTGCCTCAAGCCGGGCCAGGCGCCGGGACTCCGGGGTTCCCGGCGGAGAGCGCTTTGCATAAACAGATGGCGGGCTGTCTTTGTCTTGCTCGCTTGCTCACCGCGCAGCTCCCGGCGCTGCTTCTGTCTGGCTGATGCAATCATGATCATCTCGGAGCCTCGGAACCCGGCGCCCTTAATAACGGCAGAGGGGGTCAGGGGCCCCGGGGCTCCCGAGCAGATGCTGGGCTCTGTGTCTTTTCTCCCGGGCGCCCCTCCACGTCCCACAGCCGCAGAGGGAAGACCAACGCCACTCGGAGGTGACGGCAGGTGGAGGTGACCAAGAGGAGAACCCCGGGCAGTGCCCTGAGGTGTCCCCGGGCTGCCCCGTTGGACTGGTGCAGTCCCCAGAGGCAGCAACCCAGAGAATAGGAATATAGCCGGGGAATGGGGTAGGGGAGAGACAGAGACAAAGAGTCATTAGTAAAGAGAGACACAGTGAGATGGAGAGATGTAGAGGGAGAAAGCGAGACACAGAGAAACCGATGCAGAGGGACAAAGCCAGGTAGGGAAAGCAGCAAGAGGGAGATCAGACAGACACAGCCAGAATGCCAAGGAAGAGAGAGATGAACATACCCAGAGAGGGAGCAGACAGATAGATCGCCCGAAGAAGAGGCAGAAGGAAGGGCAGCCAGGGGCTAGGACCGGCTGGGTCAGAGGGCAATCTTGAATCTCCAGTCCAGAAGCAGAGATGAAGCCCCCGCCTCCCCGGCCCCCAGGCATGAACCCGCCTGAACCCTGAGTGCCGACTGTGGCTGGCGAGGCAGGAGCTTCCGCGTCCCCTCTCCGCCCTCTGGTCCCATCTCACACCAGAAGAGTGGAGGCTGCGGGACCCACTGTCTTGGCGGCGGGAGTGGCGGAGTGACGGACTGGGCGTGGACGGACTGACACTCCGGGCACCAACTTAGCGGCCCGAACGCCGGTAGTGCAGGGTCCCCACTGCCCGACAGGGGGTGCCCAAGGCCTCTTCCCCGAGCTTGGGGGCCGCTCGACCTCCAGGGGGCGCCCGTGCCCACGGCCCCAGCAAACCCGTTCGATCCACTGTGTCCCGCTGCCTTTGACCCGCTGTGCAGACAGTGCGCGAATTGGGATCCTGGTGCGGTTTAGCGCTCCGAGTCCAGTCCCAGCGGGATCCCTAATCTACAGCTAATGACTCCTGCGGCCCCCCACCCCGCAGGGCCAGTCCTCATGGTGAGAAAGTGTGGCGGGCGAGGAGAGAACCCGAGGAGTCCTGTGTTCCAGATCGGTCCCAAGGGCCACGAGCCAGAAACAGTAACCAAAGATGGAAGGCGGCTTAGAAATAAGTTCACAAAGACAGGGACTAGAAGCAGCTGAAGGGTCAAGGAGTGGCGGAGAGGCGGAGCAGAGGCAATAATGTAACGTTGCCGCTAGGTGAGCGCGGCGGAGGCTCAAGGCCGGAAGAACAGCGGCGGCTCTGGAAAAAGCGCGCGACAGAGGTTATGGGACCTGGCGGGGGTCACCAGAACTCAGACTAAGGGCACAAGGAGGCAGGCGAGGGCCCGTGTGCAAAGGCGCAAGGACCAGGCGCCCCTTCCGGCGTCCTGGCTCCCCAGCTGTGCCACAGAGAACCAGATGTGCAGCCCAGCTGTGCGGCCGCTCGAGCTGGAGCTCTGGGATTGCTTTTTGGTTCCAGAGACTGGAGGGCTGGGGTGCGCGGATGACAGGACACGCCCTCCCTTCCGGGGCCCTGGAGGCGCCAGTTCCCTGGGAAGGCTGGGCTGGTGGAGACTCTGACATCTCGTCAGCCCGGCTCCCCCGCCCCACACACACTTCGCAGCGAGTCTCTGTCTCTTTGTTCTCGCCGTGTCTCTGACACTTTATCTCATTATCCGCCTGAGGGAGGCGGAGAGCCCGGGACCCCGCAGCCTAATTACAGCCGCGCTTGTCAGAGTAGGGGGCGGCGGAGATATCGGCGCGAAGGAAAGGGAGGGGGACCCCAGAAAGCGCCCTCTCCCTCCCTGTACCCCGAGGATCCCAGAGACCGGCGAGCAGCTCGCTCCCGCCCGCGCCCTCCATAGCCGGGCTCTGGAGGGGGAGGTGCGGGTGCTCCGCCGGATCGGCTGCGAGCAGGGAGGGGGTGGTGGAGGTTAAAGTGGGAGTGTGGGGAGAGATTAGGCCTCGGCTCCTGCGTCCCCAAGATCCAAATTCCCCAGAGACGGGGGGCTTTGAGCCTCTCCACCCCAGCAGCACAGCACTCACCTGAGAAGGCTGAGGACAGGGAGTTGCTCGCTCGCAGTTCTGTCTCTGCGTTTTGTTCTCTTTCCTACCAGCATCTTCCAGACCTTTCCTGTTTCCCTCACTCCATTCCCTTCCCCTCCATCCCACAGCCAGAGGAAGAGGATGGCTTCCTTGGGCAGCTCCACCTTCACCCTACCCCAGGTAGGCAGAGCAAGCAAGCCTCTCAAGCCCCACTAGGGCCTGACTGTGGCAGAATAAATAAACTGGCTTATTCTATCCTGATCCTGAGCCGTGAATAAGATACACCTGGTTCTCCCAGCCTCCAATCACGATTGCAGTCCAACCGACACCTGGAGAAACCACTCAGAACAAGAGGGGCTGGGGCAGCTTTATGGTGTCGGCCTGTCTCCCTCCTTACCCCACTACACTGAGGAGGAGACAGAACCGGGTCCTCAGGACCCGCTCCTGGACGGCTCCAGGGGTGTCAGGGAAGTGCTGAACATGCCCTCACTGGCCCTGGCCCCTCCTCGTCCCACCTGTGAACACTCCACACATGCATTTTGTTAAGTGCCTGTCCCCAGGCCATCCCTCCTCCACATGGGGTCCTCCTCCTCCTCCAAATGGGGTCCTATGCCAATAAGCCTATCCCTCAGATGCCCAAAGCCCCAAAAATGATGGCGTCCCTTGGGCCAGGTACAGGCATCTGGAGGAGAGAGTCAGAGAGCAGAAACCTCTTGGCTCCCAGACAATTCTCCTCCAGGCTTTGGGCCTGGAATTGAGAAAGTGAGCTAAGTGGGGGTGGGGCCAGGCTAAGCTGCTCTGGGCTGGGCTGATCCCTCCCCAGCCGGGGGCGGGACCCCAGAAGGAGGGAGAGGGCAGAGCCATTGGAGAGGACCAGACATTGGAAAAGCGACATGGCAGGAGCCAGTCTTGGGGGCCGCTTGTACCGGCAGATCAAAAGACATCCGGGGGTGAGTTCCATCCTCAGAACCTCTGATTCTAACTCCTAACTCTCCTGCTGCCCCACCCTCCAAATCCTCCAGTGCCTTGCCTTGTGCCCAGGTCCCTCAGCGCTCCTAATCCTCCCCCAAGATTGCCTCAGTCTCTCCAAAATGTCCCTGTGTCCCACAAATCTACTGCCTTGGACAGGATCGCTGTAGGGTGAGGGAGACCATGCCAGGAAATATAGTTGTAGGAGGTTCCAGGTCCCCTCTCCCGCAAGGGAGGGAGCACCAGACTTGGGGTGGGGTTGGGATGGACGGAAAAGCTTGTAAAGGGTGACTGAACTGCGGGGAGAGGGCTGACCCCAAAAGTGCTCTCCATGTTCCCTGCAGCTCATCCCGATGATCGGCTTCATCTGCCTGGGCATGGGCAGCGCTGGGCTCTACTTGCTTCGACTTGCCCTGAAAAGCCCCGACGTCTGGTAAAGGGCGGACTTGGGATGCTCTCAGGGGGCCTGGGCGAGGCAAGATAGGGTGGGAAGGCGTTCACCTCTCAGGAATGGTGGGAATAGGTGGCCCTAGTGGGGATCCCCAGCCCTGCTGCATGCCCCTCCGACTGTACCGACCAGCATCTCAGGGCTGGAACACACTGCTGACCTGGGAGACCCCCGCATCCCCTCCAGTCCACCTGGCCACTCACTCCTCGGCTTGGGCCCCCCTGAACTACAGAACCCTTGCCTCTCCTGGCCTGGTTACCATGACAACGCCACTCAGCCTTGGCGGGCTCCGGCTTTTGGGTCCCTCTAAGTCCGTGCCAGAACACTGAGGGTTTGGCCGAGTGAGCTGCTGGGGGTGGCATTGGGGATTTCAGGGTGGCGCGGAGATTTCACACCTGGCCCTCGGAGGGGGTCCAGAAGTGAAAGGTGCACCCACCCAAGGCTTTATAATTGCAGGCACACCACCAGAAACTCAGCCCGTGGGATCTCTGCCTGATTCCCACAGCTCTGCTCTTGGGGTTAACCTAGGGTGGCAGGTAGCAAATGGGAGTCCCTGGGCCTCATTGTCAGTTTATCACCCAGCCCCATGCTGACAATGGTGACAGGCTTGTCTCACTTGACAGCACCCACTAATATGACCCTTCCCTGTTAGTCTCTGGGAAATGGGCCCCCCAGGGCAGGAAGTGGGGGTACTGGGGTGGTGCCAGAGCCTCCGGCTGGAGCTTGGTCAAATTGGGTTACAGAGTCCTGGGTCCCAGGGAGGAGACCCTAACCCTCCCTCCTCCTCCCGCTCCACAGCTGGGACAGAAAGAACAACCCGGAGCCCTGGAACCGTCTGAGCCCCAATGACCAATACAAGGTACCTCGAGATGGCTCCAGGGTTGCCCCCATCCTCTTATCTTCTGGTCTTGAGACCCACAACTCACTACTAGAAGCAAAGGGAGGCTTGGGGCAGTCAGTGCAACCCCCTTTCCTTCTCCTTAGTTCTTCGCAGTTACCACTGACTATAAGAACCTGAAGAAGGACCGGCCAGACTTCTAAGCCAGGCTGGGCGGCCAGTGCCATGCAAACCACGGACAGCCAGCCCACCCACTTCTTCTACTCCTTCCCCAGACTCCTCCCTGCAAACGCCAAGGCGTCGGTCCGGCCACCCTGTCCTGCTCCTGCTTACAAAGCCCGGGTTCCCACGAAGAGGGGAGGCTGCTCCACCCCTACTCTCCTTCCCGACTCCCAGCAGCTCCCAGCAGCGGAAGCACCTCTTGACCCTCGGCTTGAGTCCCACATGGGGGAGGGGGAGGCAGGCAGCGCCAGGAGGGGTCAACCAAAAAAACCCAAGCCAGCCCCTCTGCCGTCCCACGGGACCTCGAAGGGTGTGGCACAGGCTACATGTTGAGCGTGGTCTACGTGAGCCAACAAGCAGGGGCCTCTGAGTGCCAAGCGACGTGGCGAGGTCCACGTTAGCTCGGGCTCTGGGAGCCAGCCCAGGGGCGGCGCTGCTCAGCTTGGGCTGGTCCAGGGCCTGCCCAGGCTGAGGCACCTCTGCCTCCTGAGGCGCAGCACACTCCTCCCCTGCCCAAGCCTCTCGCCAACATTACCCCCTCTAGCCCCACACCTGGGCCTCCCCCTGCCATTCCCCTCCCTTGCTCCCCACTGTCCCCAGGGATCAAACAGAAGCAGCCGTGGGCAAAATACAATTTCATTTAACAAATTGAATTTGCTGCGGCTGCTAATCACGTCTGGTGTCGGCTCTGATCAGAGACAGAGAGAGGAGGCTGCGGCCCCGGGCGTCTTTGCGATGGAGGTGGTGGGAGGGAGGGGTGTACACATTGAGGGAGACGAATGACTGTTTGGCCCAGGGGACCCCACCCACAGTAATGGAAACTCAGGGCAGTTTGGCATTTTATTAGATAAAAACAGGAAGGAGAGTGCCCACCCACTCTTGCCTGCCACTGGCTCAGAAGGGCACTCCCCAACTTCCCCCAAGAAAGAGCACGAGTCTCTGACACTGTGATCATGACGGGTTCCAGCAGAAAGCACCTGGGCCCTCCTAAGTCTTGTTACCAAAAAAGGAAAAAGAAAAAAATCTTCTCAGCTACAAATTCTGGGACAGGGACTACACCTGGCTCTTGCCCTAAGTGAGAGGTCTTCCCTCCCACACCAGAAAATAGAAAGGCTTTCTATTCCACTGGCCTAGGTGTGGGGAGGATAGTAACTTCCAGTCTGTGGGCCTCATTTCCCAGGTGCCGTCAACGCTCATCAAAACCAGGCATGGGGAAGGCCCTGGCAAACTGCTCCACCCGTTGCCTGAGGTCGGCCAGACGCTGAATTGTTTCCGAGTCTTTGAGCAGGAAGGATTTGAAATCCTGCAGCTTGGCTAGAGAGAGAGGGTGAGAAAACAAGTGGTCAGAGCTCTGGGGAAGGCAATGAAATCGGCTGGGGAAGACAGCAGACAGTGAGTGGGAACTGGCTGGCCTGGGGGGCCTTCTTGCCCACTCACCAGTTTTGCTCTTCACATCTAAGCCAATGCTGACCCCTTCATCTATAAAGTCCACAACTCTCCGGAAGTCATCCTCACGGAACTGTCGGGAAGTCAAGGCCGGGGCCCCTGGAAAGAGACACAAGAGGAGGGATGAGTATAGCCCAAGGTTACCTGGCAGGCATCCAGCATGGGAGCCCCTTCCCTCCTTGAATCCCAGGTCTCACCAAGCCGCAGGCCCCCTGGTGTGATGGCACTTCGGTCTCCAGGGCAGGTGTTTTTGTTGGCGGTGATGGATACAAGCTCCAGCACCCGCTCAGCACGAGCTCCATCCAGGCCCTTGGGCCGCAGGTCCACCAGCACCAGGTGGTTGTCAGTACCACCTAAGGCAGGTAAGAAATGGGGAGTGCTGAGTCCTGGGCCTTTGTCTGAAGCTATAGAGGCCCTCACCCATCCCCCGCTGGCTCACCCGATACCAGTGAGTAGCCTCGCTGTAGCAGGGCATCTGCCATGGCCCGAGCATTCTTCAGAACCTGCAGGGAGTACTCTCGGAACATGGGGGTGCAGGCCTGGAGATGAGACAGTAGCAGCCGTGACCCCAGACGTGGACCCAAGCCCTGTACTGCCCTCTTGTCCCTGCACCCTCAGCAGAGCTCTGGGACCCCAGCCTCGATCCCTTCCATTTGCCCCAGCATCAGTTAGCAAGATGCAGGGTTTAAGCCTCCAGGCCACTGCCCACCACACCCTACAGGGGCAGGATGCCGAACCTGCTTTAGGGCCACAGCTACTGCAGCAATGGCATGATTGTGGGGCCCCCCCTGCAGGGATGGGAACACGGCAAAGTTGATTCGGTCCTCAAATGTGTAGGGAATCTCCCGGCCAGTCTTGGGGTCCACAGCTTTCACCCCCTTCCGGTAGAAGATGAGTCCTGATCTGTATGAGAGAGGTGGGTGGTCAGAATCTAAGCCGAAAAGAAGGACAAGGGACAGAGAAGGCAGAGGAAGCTGGCGGACCTGGGCCCTGAGGGCACACTTCGTGTAGGCTTGGTACACTGGATTCCAGTGGAAGACGGAATCAGCCCCTCAATCCCGTCCCCAAATTCCTTGCCAGGGCATGGCCACCATGTGCAAGAGAAGAACTGTCACAGACTGGGCAGGAGTGTTTAGGGCTGCAGAAAGTATTCCTCTCAGGTCCAGGCCAACAGTGCCCCAGGAATAGGCCAGAAGGCAGGAAAGGCAACGCCCGACCTCAGGGAGCCTGACCTGGCCCCTCGAAGAGTCTTGTGAGTAGTTGTGGTGACGACGTCCGCATGCTTGAAAGGCGAGGGAATCACCTTAGCAGCCACCAGGCCACTGATGTGGGCCATGTCTGCCAGCAGGTGTGCTTTGACCTCATCACATACCTGGGCAGGTAGAGAAGCAAGGGCTCAGCCTGGGGAGAGCCCGGAGAGGCCTGCCCAAGGTTGCCCTCCTCCCATACCTCCTCACCACTCCTGAGGAGGTGCCCAGTCTCCAGCCTCCCACCAACCTCTCTCATGCGGGCGTAGTCAATGAGACGAGCATAGGCACTGGTGCCAGCTATGATGAGCCGTGGTCGGAAAAGTCGAGCAGTCAGTGCCAGCTGGTCATAGTCAATGAGGCCAGTTTTGGGCTGGACAGACAGACAAAGAGCTAAAGCCCCGAGAAGGAAGCAGGGCAGCTTCACTCTCTCCTTGACCCTAAGGATGACCCAGGGCTTCAGTCCCTCAGCCTCTCCAGGAGAGGACCACCACCAGGGCCGAGAGCCCCTCCCCACACTCTAGAGCACTCACGTTGAGCTTATAGGGCATTGACTCGAAGAAGATGGACGTGGCTGAGATCCGCTTGACGTCAGACATGTAGCCATGGGTGAGACTGGGAAGTAAGAGAAAGTAAGGAGGCCTGGGTGGAAGGAACCCCAGACTTAACTGCTCCCTTCAACTCCACAGTTCTGTTCCCAGAACACTGGTCCTGGCACACACCACCTCATTGCTCTGTCCACTCTGTGGCGGATACTGTAACTGGGATCTTATCTTCCTCATCCACTGTGACATGCAGGACAGGGCAAAGCCTGTTCCATCAGTATAGTCCACAGTAGGTATTCAATAAATACCACCTTTCCCACACCAATCCTGCCCACCAAGCCCATCAGTCAGCCCATTCATACTCACTGGCCCCCATCAGGCAGGTCCAGCCCCATGATCCGGTCGTGAGGTTGCAGAAGGGCTGTGTAGGCAGCCAGGTTGGCTGGGGACCCGGAGTAGGGCTGGACATTGACTCCCCACTGTGCAGGGTCCAGGTCAAAGGCTTCCAGGGCCCGGCGCTGGCACAGCAGCTCAATTTCATCCACCACCTCTGCTCCCCCATAATATCTGCCATGGGAGAGGGGTAATGAGGGCACAGAGAACGGACTCTCAACCAGCAGCAAAGGACTGGGAAGTTCACTCCTCAATGAACACTGGGAAGGTACAGGTGGGTTCCCCCACTGGGAGCACCATCCCTGACACTGCCCTCCAGCCCTCACCTCTTGCCAGGGTAACCCTCCGAGTACTTGTTGTTCAGACAGGACCCCAGGGCCTCCAGCGCAGCTCGGCTGCAGAAGTTCTGGGGTGGTGGGGGGCAATGTCAGGAGGTATTGAGCCCCTTCCCCTGGACTCCCATAGTCCCTCCCTGCCAGAGCCAGAGCTGAAATTGGGAGTACTCCCTGCAGAAATTTCCATTCACTCAGGGCCAGGCCTGGGACAAAGCCAGAGGCAGCATTTTTCAGAAACCCAGCTGCAATGAGAGGTGGCCCCTCTAGGCTACCTACCCACTCAAACTTGTGCTTCTAGGCTCCTCTTTCCTCGTGGAAGGAAGGGGGAGATCAGATGAGACTGTAGGGACCCTGGAAGCTCCCCTAATGCCCCAACCCCATAAATTAGACTTGCCCTGCCTTTGCTTCAGAGAGATAAGAAAGGAGAATAAAGCCCCAAAAAAAGGTCCTGAGTGTGAAAGGTGTTCTGGAGAATATCTGTTAAGGTAACTTCATTACTTCCTGTACCCATGGTGGCCCAACCCCTGCCCATCTCCCCAGGTCCCACCTCTGAGGCAATGAGCTCCAGGCCTCGACACTGCCTGTCCTTCTCCCTCCGCAGCAGCTCCCACATCTCAGGGTCACTGTCCGACAGGCTCTCCTGGCCTGTCCAGCCCCTGTTTGCTTCCCCAGTCTGAGTCTGGGCTGCCTTGCTGTGCTGAGCCCGAATGGCCGTCCTGACCAGCTGCCCACATCTCTGCAGAGGCTGGAGGCAGGAAAAGTCAGGGTGAAATCACAACAGTCCAGACAGATGGTCTCCTGACCACCCTCACTCATGCTTGTAAGGCCACACCGAGGAGCCAGTTGTCCAGCCAGCCTGTTTCAGTTCTCACTATCCCCACCTCCACCTTCAAAAGCCAGTTCTAGAGCCAGGCTTGAGATCAATGTCCAGGGGGTGGTTCTGATTTGTTCCATTCACTGCACTGCACCTCCGAAATCTCCCACCACCTCACTCCATGAACCACTCTGCAAAGCTTGTCCTCGAGAAGCCTATGTCTCCCCTACTCCAGAGAGGGCCACTGGGATTCCAGAACCTTCCCACCCACCGGAACAACGGGGTCTTCCAGCAGGGCAGCATAAACATACCCTAGGCAGTGGGGTGTGGGGCGGGGGGAGATAGAGTTGGCAAGGGCTGAGGTCACAGGCTGTAAAGCAATGGAGGTGGGAGGGTAGACCTTTAGCAGTCCCTGGAGAAGAGTTATGTGGGAGGGGTAGGGGTGAGGGTTTGCCCGAAAGGAAGCCAATACCCTGTTCCCTTACTTAGCCCCCTGCCCCTTCCACCTCCTTCCAGCCCTCACTGCGGCAGGACCCCTGCCTGATGCAAGCAGTGAGGCTCGGTTGCATCATCTGCAGGGCTCAAAGCTGGCCGGAAAGGCTCAGCTTGTGAGGCCAGGCCGAGAACTCCGCTCATTCGCCAGCACGGGGTCCTCTGGGCATCCGGCGCTGTCCTCTCCCCTAATGCCACGTGAAATGGGCGATCACCAGGCCCTGGGACGTCTGATCGCCAGAATGAGGACAGGTTCGCAGTTCACTCCACGCGTGCCCAGAGGTCTTGGGGATTCCCTAGTTACACGTCCGCTCCCTGAGGCCCCAGTCCACGTGCGTGGACAAGCCGACAGAACCCCAGAGTTTGTGACTAGGAACTAAG